ATTTCTGATGACATCATAGATAGAAGGAGGGCACAAGGGTCACTCGGAATTCTTTCCTGTAAAATTTTTTGCACTATTGATCAAAGCAACCACTCAAAAAAAGAAATGTACTGAACCTCCTTCAGCATTAGTCACTGGGTCAAAGGCTGGGGAGGTTTGAGGGTAGAGGTAGCGCTAAGGACTAAGAATATGAAAGAGTTTGAGGGAAGCACACTCTACCCCAGTATGATTTACATTATAAAATTATAATTATAAAATTATAGCATTGAGTAAAATTACACAAACCAAGGGCAATGCAAATTTTAAGGAAATATAAGCTAATTGGGGGCTGTAATAGTTCAGAAAGAATCTTGAAAGATGGTTCAAATTCACAGATTGGGCAGAAGAGGAAAGAATATGTCAGGTTTGGGAAGCAAGGTGAACAAAGGCACAGAAATTTTAACATGGTATGTGTGAGTAAGGAATAAAATACCCCAGGTGGAAGGAGCTGAGGCTCTCGATTAGAGAAAAGACTGGATGAGGAGGTTGGGCAAATCATGGAGTCATTAGTTAAATACTAAACATGTTAACTTATTTCATCTTCACTGTTTTCTCAGTGTGTGAAATAGAATGCAGCACAAACAAAAATCATAGAACAGTGTTCTGTAATGAGAGTTTTGTCCAAGTTATTATTGGTTAAAGTTATAACACAATTAAATGGCCAGCTAGCACCAATAATCTTCCACCTTTCAACCAAATATTTTTCTAACAAAATCTCACTAAATAGGTATAAAGTTATTATAAAGAAAAGTTAATATGGTTCTATAAATTATAAATTAAGGCAGAACTAAGAATCTAAACTTTCTAGCCCAAGATTCTGAGACTATACTAGATGAAGTTGCTTGGTATGCATCCTAAACAATATCTTAGGTTAGATGTGGGGTTGGTTATTTTTTTCCTGTGTATGGTAGTGCAAATTCCCCTAATGAACTTTGTATGATGTAGTGCCTGCGTCTAACAGCAAATAGAAAAGAGCAAAGAAAACCAACGTAAGACCATTAAAAATTACTTTACCTTTTCACTTAACTTCGTAGTATAGTATAAAGTTTTGCTTCCTGGGATCATAGGCAGCTTGACCCCAAGAGGCAGATCCAGTAGTTGACCCGCTCCGACCCCTGGTAAGTGGGTTTTGTGCACGCCCTGTCAGATGCAATTGGAGACTTTGGCCTTTCCTTTCAGTATTAGATATTAGGCCAATCTACTCCTACTCCAATCAAGAGTCAGACAGTCAGGGTCGAAGGGTCCCGCCCTACCACACAGCCCCGAAGACCTCCTCCCGCCTCCCGCTTCCCGGGCCACCCGCTTCGCCGCTGCGCCACAGCCAGTTGCGGCCCCAGCAGCCCGAGAGCACTTCCACCCGCCGCCCGCACGAGGGCGCCAGAAGCGGGCGGTTACAAACCGCGCGGCGCGTCCGTGGCTCTCCCTGCCCGGGCCCCAGAGGGCCGGAAGCCCGTCGGAGGACCACGACGCCAGGCTGGCTGCCACTCACGTCTCCGCATTCCTGGCTGTCCACGGCCAGGCTACTGGTGGCCGTCTTGGTGGCAGCGATGTTGGCAGCCTTGGAGCAGGCGCTGAGGTACAGCTCCATCGCCGGCCCGGGCCCGTCTGCCCCTCTCCGCCCTCCCCTGGCCCCTTCCCTCGCACCCCTTTCCCCGTCGTCGTCCCTCCGTTGCGACTGGACCCGGAATGGCCAGTACCCCGCGTCCGCGAGGCCTCACCCTCGCGGCGTTCCAGGCTCCGAACTTGGGGGCCCCGGACGGGTGGCGCCTTCCCGAGGGCTGGTCCCAGCCGCTTGGGCGTGCAGCGCCGGCATTTGGGGACATCAGTTCTAGGGGCCTGGGCTGTGAGGGCTGCAGCTGAAATATCGTTTCTCCCAGAAGCCAGCACCCCTCAGTCAAAGCAAACCCAACTCCAAACTCTGAAAGCGTTGCGGGAGGGTAGCTGGCTAATTTCTCCCGGCCTCCGAGGAGCTGTGGTTTGGCCCGGGTGGGGCGGTGGGGGGTGAGCAAAACAAACAAACAAACAAACAACAACAAAAAACTCCATTCTAGGGACAGAGGCCTGGTTTTCTATATGTGCCCCCTTACAGACACTGTGATCACACCCCATCCCCAGGCTCCCACGACCTCTTTCCACTCCAGGGCCACATTACCGTACTTTGGTTTCCTTTGGGGCTCTGCCTCTCTCCTGTCCTCCTCCCTCCTCTAGTCTTCCTCTTTCCTTTCTAGCTCTCTTCTCCTTCTCCTGCTCCCTCTTCTCTGCCTCCCCTGCTTTCTCCTAGATCCCTCTTTCCTTCTCCTGACAGCATCCAGCCAGAATTTATAAAATGCACGACTCCTTGAGGCCGGTCATTGGAAGGGGTACTGGGAATATGGTGGTGAGTGAAATTTGGCCTCTTCTTTCAAGGAGCTAACTAGACTGTGAGTGCTTTGAGGGCACAGAATGTATCCGATTTGTCAGGAATGTGGACTTAGACCCTTGTTCTTTCTTATTTCTCGCCCATTTAGTAGTAATACCTACTATTTATTGAGAATTTAGTAACTCCAGATACTGTGGTAAACACTCACCACATTTAATCTTTATAACAGCCTTGCCAATAATGACCTCTTTTTTCCAAAGGTTAAAGAGGAATGATAGTTACTTTTAAGTCATGGCCCCAGAGACAGTTTCTTAGTCAATATACTAGTTTTATGTCTGTTCTGTTTCTTTTAATGCCACTCATATGCATGGGACTCCTAAATTTGAAATCTGATCTCGGGATACAGTCCACTACCAGCACTCCACATGGGGGTCTCACAGTCATCTCAAATTCAGTGTACTCAAATCTCAACCTACCCTTTCACTAAAACAGTACAAAACTAAGGCCTTGTTCTTTTTTTTTTTTTTAGATTTTATTTATTTATTTGAGAGAGAGAATGAGAGAGAGAGCGAGCACATGAGAGGGGGGAGGGTCAGAGGGAGAAGCAGGCTCCCCGCCGAGCAGGGAGCCGGATGCGGGACTCGATCCCGGGACTCCAGGATCATGACCTGAGCCGAAGGCAGTCGCTTAACCAACTGAGCCACCCAGGCGCCCCTAAGGCCCTATTCTTGCATTTCCCATCTCAGTGACAATAGCAGTATCTACCCAAGCTGGAAACTGAGATATAATACTAGATACTCCTTTCCCCTCATTCTGCACATTCAGTTGATCTCTTTGTCCTACTGATTTTATCACTGAAATTAATTGGTCTTCTCCTACCCATCTGTACACTACTCCCTCAGTTAAGCCACTCATCATTTTTTTGTCTGTGTGATCACCACAGCCTTACCTGTCTGCACCTTTTACCCAATAGTCCATCTTTTATCAAATCAATCTTTGATGCCATCTCTCTCCCCTCTAGTAAATCCCCAGTTACCATAAGACTTAACACAAAGCATATAACAGCCTCTGTGACTTGGTCCCTGTATTAGTTTTCTCTTGCTGCTGTAACAAATTACCACAATCTTAGTGGCTTAAAACAACACAAAGGTATTATCTTACAATAATTGAGGCCAGCAGTCTGAAATCAATCTCATCTTGCTGAAATCAAAGTGTTGGCATGGCTGCATTCTTCTGGAGGCTGTCGGACACAATCGATGTCCTTCCTCTCTATGGCTTCTAGAAGCTTCCCCATCCTCCCACTTCAAATCCAGCATGTAGTGTCTTCAGATCTCTCTCTGACTCAGACCTCTGCCTCCCTCTCTATAATTAAAAATCTGTTGATTATGTTGGGTCCATCTAGATGACCTATGATAATTTTCTTTACTTTATTTTTTAGAGAAAGGGAGAGCATGGGGGTGAGAGGGGCAGAGAAAGAGGGGGAGAGAGAATGGAGCCTGATGTGGGCTTGATCTCATGACCCTGGGATCATGACCTGAGCTGAAATCAAGAGTTCGGTGCTAAACCGACTGAGCCACCCAGGCACCCTGATAATTTCTTTATTTTAAGGTCAGCTGATTAGCAACCTTAATTCCATTAGGAATCTTAATTCCCCATTGCCATGAAACATATATATTCATAGGTCTTGGAAATTAAAATGTAGACACCTTTGAGGGGTATCATACTGCCTAGTACAGCTCTTTTCTCCCTTTTTAAGACATAACTTCTGTACACCACCTCTCAAAATTGAACCTCAAATGATGTAGAACTGTTTGAGGTTAGTTTCCAACACTGAGCCTACTGATTCAAGACTTTGTGTCTTTGCTGTGCTGTTCCCCTGCCTGATAGCCCTTTGCACTTCATTGCTTGGCTAATTTCAGTCAGCTTTTAAGATTGCTTAAGGATCATCATCTCTAGGAAGTTTTTTTTTTTTTTTTGTTAAGATTTTATTTATTTGCGAGAGAGAGAATGAGAGACAGAGAGCATGAGAGGGAGGGAGGGTCAGAGGGAGAAGCAGACTCCCTGCTGAGCAGGGAGCCTGATGTGGGACTCGATCCCGGGACTCCAGGATCATGACCTGAGCCGAAGGCTGTCGCTTAACCAACTGAGCCACCCAGGCGCCCCATCTCTAGGAAGTTTTTATGACATTCTAAGCTTTTGCCAATTTTTTTTCCCTTTAAGGGAATGGAAACTCCTTTAAAGCAGCTATTGGGTTATTCAATTTTATATGCTCAACACTTAGCATAGTGGTCTAGCAAGCATTTAGTGAAACCCCAGTATATTTGGTTGTCTTGACCTAGGTAATGAGAACCCATCGAAGGGTTTTAAGAACATTTTTATTTTAGAAGATCATTCTGGCAACAAGATAGGGGATGGATTTTTAGGGGGGAGACTGAAGGCCTGGGAGACTTTATGATATGTAGTTACATAAGCAAGAAACAATGAAGACCTGAAATAATGAGTCAATAGGAATGAAGGGGAGAGAATGGATTTGAGAGACATTTGAAGCAACATTGTCATAACTTTGGGTTCTTCCCCATCTCACCTACTTTAAAAATAACAGGGTTGGAGGGAATGATTGCTGTGGTGAAGCTCACAAGGGTAGATGACAAGCTTGAATTCTGGAGAGAACAGTAAAACCAGAAAAGTAAATGAATTCCCTAAGAAAACCACATCAAACAGGTAAGTTATTTTTATAAGGAAAGCAGTTGGAAAGTGAGATTAGAGAAGCAGGAAGTCTATGATAATTGTATGTAAAGAAGTATTTGTTGTATTCTTGGAGATGACAGAGGAACATGTGTTTGAAATTCTATGAACTTTGGGGCCTTTTCAGATACTATCTTGCCCTTTCCTTCATAACAACCCATTCACAAAATTTAATGGCTTTAAACAATGATTTATTATTTCTCACAGCTTTTGGGTTGGCTGACATTTCTTTCAGTCTGAGTTGGCTCAGCTGGAGCTGGATCATCTAGGGTGGCTTCACTCACATGTCCAGGGCCTCAGCTGGGATGGCTATAATGGTTGGGATTGCTGGAACACTGTCTACAGATGTTCTTTTCATATTCTAGGTGATTAGATCATGCTTTTTTACATGGAAGTCTTGGGGTTTCCAGCATGAAGAGGGTATGAACTTTAGTGTGCTTTTGTGCTTTTCAAATCTTCACTATTAGTATAACATTTTCTAAGGATACCAATCATTGGATCAGAGTCCACACTAATGCAGTATGACCTCATCTTAACCAGATTACACCTGCAAATTCTCTATTTCTAAATAATTTTATAGTCAGGTTCAGACTGGACTAAATTTGGGGGGAGGACACCATTCAACCAGATACAGAAAGTTACTGCTAATGGAGGAAGTTTGATATATTGACATGTCAAAAAAGGCTTTTTTAGGATATTGATTAGACAGAGGGCTCAAAATAAGAATCGGTCTGGAAATAACAAAAATATGGATATTAGAATCATCATGATATATATGGGTTTCTAAAGGATTTCAAAACTTAAAGAGATAGAATAAAATTATCTAACGTCCCATAATTGATTCAGGAAAAGTAGGCAAAAAGAATAAATGAGTATCACCCTCATATACTTTCTGAAGTGGTCTATTTCTGCCAGGTAAAACCTTAGTTAGCTTCTGATTAGTTACTGCCTCTGACTAAACATTACTTCTTATATTGCCCACAAAACTGACGCAAATATTAAAGTAAACTATCCTCTCAAGATATATAACTTATCAAATATTAACTGTTTTTCTGTATTTCTGTAAAATATCTTATTTGCTGATGTTTTAGATTTTTTCAAATAATTATCATCTTTACAAAAGAAAAAAATGAAAGTTTGTATTAAAAATTTTGTTAAGAGAAGTTTTGTCCCTATCATTAATACAGCACTGCCTCTACAGCAGAACAAATTAGCACCTGATTTTTTATTTCCTGGCTCTTACCTCTCATTACTTGATGACTCTCTGTGGGTCTTATGCTCCCAATAAGACTCTAGGTGCTTTTGATTGCTTGCATCCCCTGGGTCAGCAGTGCCCAGTTCTTGCTAGGCACTCAGACTGCTTTCCTGATTACCCTTTAGTCATTGCTAAATAGTGAGTGCACACATGCACATGCCCCCCCCCACACACACACACATGTACACACACAGGGTCTGGTAAGGACCATACAATATCTTTTCGTATTATAAGGTATATTTCTTTGCTAGTATCCCACCCATGTAAATACTTTACTTTATATTTGCATTATTTTTAAAAATATTATATTTATCTTGATGAAAAGCTGGCACTGAATACAGAGTCCTGATTTGTTAAGTGGTGCAGACTATGCAGAAAGAATGGGGCCAAATTAAATATTGGTTGGGATATTTATTCATATATTCTCAATATATATATTTTAGGTGACAGCACAAATAAATAGTTGTGAAATATTAAATAAAAAGTAACGTTCAAATATATTTCCAGTTTAAGCTTTCACATGAAGATAGCATATAATTTAAGGTAGCCAGTCATACGATGCATCACAGGTGGGAAAAATTCCTTAATAGTAAAAGGCAGTAGGAATATATAGTACAGTATTAATAGAGTAGACTTGGGGGTTTAAATCACATTTATTTCAACTCTTGGCTTTAGTTTCTTCATCTTCAAATTTTGTATAATGTTAACTCTTATTTTATAGGACTATTAAATGAGTTAAATTGATAAAAGCACTTAGCAAAATGCATGGTCTATAGAAATGCTCAATCAATGACAGTTTTATTATTAGCATCATTTTGACTGAGTAGCATTAATAGGGACATGATTAATTAATTAACTAATTAAAAATATCCCCCGGTTTTATTGAAAAATAATTGACATAATACTGTATAAGTTGAAGGCATACAGTATGATGGTTTGATTTACATATATTGTGAAATGATTACCACAGTAGGTTCAGCTAACATCCATCTTCTCATATAGATACAATAAAAAGAAAGCAAAGAAGAAAAGAATAAAGGGGAAAAAAATTTGTCCTTGTGGTGAGAACTCTTAGGATTTACTGTCTTAACAACTTTTCTATGTAGTGTTAGCTGTGTGTTCTGTGGCAATGTTAGCCGTAGGCATCATGCGGTACATTACATCCCTAGTATTTATTTATCTTAGAACTGGAAGTTTGTACCTTTTGACTACCTTTCTCTAATTCCCTTTCCCCTTATCCATACTTCTGGTAACTGCAAGGCTGATCTCTTTTTCTATGAATTTGGTGTTTTTTGTTTGTTTTGTTTGTTTGTTTTAGATTCCACATATAAGAAAGATCATATTTGTCTCTGTCTGACTTATTTAACTAAGCATAATCCCTTCAAGTATATTCATGCTGTTGCAAATAGTAGGATTTCCTTTTTTCTGAATAAATAATATTCCAGTGAGTATGTGTGTGAAATATCCATTCATCCATTGATCCACTGGTGGACATTTAGGTTGTTTCCATGTCTAGGCTATTGTAAATAAGACTGCAATACATATGAGGGTGCAGATATGTTTTTGAGTTAGTGTTTTTTTGTTACCTTTGGATATATTTCCAGAAGAATGGCTGGATCATATGGTAGTTCTGTTTTTGATTATTTGAGGATCCTGCATATTGTTTTTCCATAGTGGCTGTACTAATCCACAATTCCACCATCAGTGCACAGGGGTCCCTTTTCTCCATATCCACACCAGTGTTTGTTATTCCTTGTCTTTTTGTTAATAGCCATTTTATCAGGTGTGATTTAATATCTCATTGTGGACCTAATTTGCATTTCCCTAATCATTAGTGATATTGAGCATCTTTTCATATACCTGTTGGCCTTTTGTATATCTTCTTTGGAGAGATGTCTGTTCAGGTCCTCTGCCCATTTTTAAATTGGGTTATTTGTTTTTTTGCTATTGAGTTATAGGAGTTCTTTGTGTTTTGGGTATTAACCCTTTAACAGATACACTGTTTGCAAATATTTTTGCCCATTCTGCAGGTTGTTGGTGGTTTCTTTTGCTATGCAGAAGCCTTTTAGTTTGACGTAGTCCCACTTTATTTTTTATTTTGTTGCTTGTTCTTCAGGTGTCATATCCAAAAACTCATTACTAAGATCCACGTCAAGGAGCTTTGTCCCTATAATTTTTTTCTAGGAATTTCATGGTTTCAGGTCTTCCATTTCATCCTTAATCCATTTTGAGTTAATTTTTGTGAATGTGTAAGATATGGGTTGAGTTTTATTCATTTACATGTGAATATCCAATTATTCCAGCACCATGTACAGAAGAGACTGTCTTTTTTCCATTGAGTATTCTTGGCTTCCTTGTCAAATATTAGTTGACCTTATATGCTTGGATTTATTTCTGGACCCTCAATTCTCTTCTGTTGGCCTATTTGTCTGTTTTTATTCCAGTACTGTACTGTTTGATGACTACGGTTTATACTATAGCTTAAAATCAGGAAGTGTGATACTTCCTGATTTGTTCTTTCTCAGGATTTCTGTGGCTATTTGGAGTCTTTTGTGGCTTCATATAAATTTTAAGAGTTTTTTTCTACTTTAAATAAATGCTGTTGGACTCTTGATAAAGGCTTGTATTGAATCTACAGATGGCTTTTAGTAGTATTGACATTTTAATAGCATTAATTCTTCCAATCCACAAACATGGGATACCTTTTCATTTATTTATGTCTTCTATTTTTTATCAATGTATTGTAGTAGTTTTCAGTGTAGAGATCTTTTATTCTTTACTTAAATTTATTCCTAATTATTTTATTGTTTTTGCTGCTATTGTAAATGGTATTATTTTTTAAATTTCTTTTTCAGAAATTTCATTGTTAGTATAAGAAGTGCTACTAATTTTTGTATATTATTTTTTTATAATGTAACTATTGAACTCATTGATTAGATATAACAGTTTTTTGGTGGAGTCTTTAGGATTTTCTCTATATAAAATCATGTCATCTGCAAATAGAGACATTTTTGCTTCTTTCTTTCCTTCCAATTCTGACACCTTTTCTTGTCTGATTGCTTTAGCTAGGACTTCCAGTACCATGTTGAATAGGAATGGTGAGAGTGGGCATCCTTGTCTTGTTCCTGATCTTAGAGGAAAAGTTTTTATCCTGCCACCATTGAGTATAATGTTAGCTGTGGTCTTGTCATAGATGACCTTTATTATGTCAGGTATATTCCTTCAATGCCTAATTTGTTGTTTTTATCATGAATCGATATTGAATTTTGTTGAATGCTTTTTAGGCATTTATTGAGGTGATCATTTGGTTCTTTTATTTTATTCTATCAATGTGATGTGTCACACGGATTGATTTGCATATGTTGAATCATCCACGCATCCCAGGGATAAATCCCACTTGATCATGGTGAATGAGGGCATGATTAATTTTAATAGCGGGCAATCTGCCCAGCTCAATGTAGTACTAGGCACTGTACCATGTCTTCTAGCTTAAAATCGTAGAGACTTGAGAGACTGGACTTTCTGATTATTAAGATTTTTTTCTCTTCATTTTAATTCTTGGAATGCATTGCCCTCATAATCCTAATCACTGTTATTAGTGGGATTTATGATGTATACATTTGGTGTTTTGGGGGAAAAATTTTTGAAATTGTTGGATAATTTTATCCATCAAGGTGAATATTTTTACTCTATTAATCAGGTAACTGCAGTTTGTTTTTAAAGTATCAGCCCTGGTCAACAGTTTGACTGCAGTCTTGTGAGAGACCTTGTACTGAATGTACACAGCTAAACTGTGCCCTGATTTCTGTGGTATAGGAACTGTGAGATACAAAATGTTTGTTGTTTTAAGCTATTAGATTTTGGGACAATTTGTTACATAACAATAGATAACTAATGCTTACAATGTACCGTTCATTGTGTTATGTAGCTAGCAAGGTGTATATCATGAAACCCTTTCATTAACATTGTAAGACAGTTATTACAATCTCCATTTTACAAAGAGGAAATTTGGGCTTGGAATAATTAATTTGCCTGTCATCATAAAGCTTTGAAATTGGCTCTGTTCTAAGGAATACTTAATCAGTAAACAATTATTTTTCTCCTTATCATTTTTAAAATAGAATTATTTCTTACATCTTAAATCTTTTTTCCTCAGTTTTATTGAGATGAAATTGACATATATCATGGTAACAGTTTACGGAATACAGCATGATGGTTTGGTTTACATATATTCTGAAATGATTACTGCAGTAAGGTTAGTTAACAACTATCATCTCATATAGATATAATAAAAAGAAAAAAGAAAAAAAGAAAAAAATTCCTTGTGATGAGAACTCTTAGGATTTACTTACTTAACAATGTTCCTATATATTACATACAGTGTTAACTGTAGTTATCATGTTGTATATTATATCCTGGTACTTATCTTGTAACTGGCACTTTGTACCTTTTGACCACTTTTCTCCAGTTCCTCCTACCCTTAAATCTTGACAAACTATGCATTTATGTACTTCTCACATTGGACTTCACCAGTATAAAGTTAGGGAGAATAATAAAAAACCAACAATAAAACCTACATATGGGGGGTGTCTGGGTGGCTCAGCCATTAAGCGTCTGCCTTCAGCTCAGGCCATGATCCCAGGGTCCTGGGATCGAGCCCCGCGTCGGGCTCCCTGCTCCTCGGGAAGCCTGCTTCTCCCTCTCCCACTCCCCCTGCTTGTATTCCCTCTCTCACTGTGTCTCTGTTAAATAAATAAATAAATCTTTAAAAAAAAAAAACCTACATATGGTATAAACTTCATTATCTATACTATGTACCATTATGACCCTGACAGAGCCTGAATAAGACATGAGGGACAGGATTAATGTACCAATTTCTCTCCTCAATTCTATCTCAGATGTTAAAGATATAATCTCTAAATTACTCTACATACTTCAATAATTCGCTATGATCCCATACATCTGTTTATCAAAATCTATGTTTACTTTTATCCATTTTAGTCATTTTCTGTGCTTAATACAGAAGACTGTAAATTCACTACATTCTGGACTAAATTCTAATTTCTTTCTTGGCTCTTAAGATTTAACCACTGCTCTTCTTATTCCAGTGTAAATATATTTGATAATATGTCCATGGTAGTTTGTCATATGGAAAGAAAGAAGTTAAGTTACAGGTCTGCAATACAATCTGTTCTTTTACTGGGGGTGCTCCAAGGAAAGAAAGAAGGCAAGTAACCTGAACTAATCCCCTTATAAACATACTGATGACAATCCTGCTGACACAGCAACGACAACAAAGATTTTTTGCTAGCAAAAGAGACTTTTCATCTGGAATTCTTTTAGCAGGATGTGCCTAATTGTCTAGAATTGTTTCTGGTAAATAAACTGTAATATATGGAGCTATGGATAATGCCTGGTTGCAAAATGTTACATAATCAATATAACCCTCTCAATATAAAATAAAATGTCTTTCTTATAAGCTGAGTGGGTTATTATATGAAAGTGAAGTAAGTAACTGCAAACCTCACAGAAACCTCATCTATTAACACGTGCATCTGATGTGGTATGATAGAACTTGGGGAACTCCACTAGGGGTCCTGGACCTCTTGGTTCCACCTCTGCCTATGATTACTTGTATCCTTGGAATTAGTAAAATTTGATATTGAGTAAGATCTTTGAGTCCTGTGAGTCTGAATTATCAGTCTGACCCTTTACATTATCTTAAGGTCCAGGACATATTGATTTCTATGATAGTCCTCAAATTTCACCCTTCCAATAATTGATTTAATCATTTTGGTGTCCCTCAGAGGCACAGGAGGCAGAATTTTATAATGGTAAAGTAGTAACATGTGTGGGTAGAAATTGAAACAATATAAAGTAAAATAATTTACCCTTATTCCCAGATGCCAAGTCTCTCAACCAAGAAGCAAACAACAGAAGTCTGTATATCATTATACATATGTGTAGGGGCCAAGGGCAGCCCCTCTGCCCAATGGGCCACTTTGGCATGAACATTATATTGAGTTAAAAGCAATCTAAACGCAGCAGATTCAGCAAAACTCTTTACCTCCCTCCTCGACTGTCTGTACCATGAAGAAAGCTATTAACAGAATTCCTCTTTACCTAAGAAACTGATCTGAATAATAGGGCAACCTTTGGCTTCCAAACATCTCCTTTTACCTTCCTGCTAATGATCTTTCTCCCCTTTAAATTTTCAAACCCCTCCCTCTTCTTAGTTCATATAAGCATCGTGTTGTCCCACTTTGTAATTTCCATGTCTGTGTGGATTCCCTGTACATATGCTACTAAATTTGATTTTCCCTTGTTAATCGGTCTCATGTCAATGTGATTCTTAGTCCAGCTAGAAGGATTTTGAAGGGCAGAGGAAATTCTTCCTCCCCAACATATGCAAATTTATGTTATCAAGCGTTTAGTGTTCAGAGTTCCACATGTTCTATTTTTAACTGACCAATATATCTTGAAGATCATTCCATATGAGTACACTGATTTAATTTAGTTTTTAACTACACAGAAGTGGTATTTAATGCTGTAATTACCATAGTTTACTTAATTAGTCTCCTATTTATGAATTTTTAGGTTTTTTTTGTCACAAAAATTCTATAATAAGCATCCTTTTACATAGATTTCTGGATTAAAGGGTATGTTGATTTCTTCTCTTTTTCTTACAGATACTGTTGTTTCCTTCAAAGCAGTTACACTGATTTATCCTCCCACAGATAGAGATTTGGTAAGGTATGTGCCTGCTGTTAGTGTCTTCTTTCTATCCTGAATAAATCTTTCTCATAGGTTGTGATTTCTAGAAATGTCTAAAATTAGTTCTTCTAATTTTGTTTGTTTATTTCAGAAACAATAGAGATTCTTTCCTCTCCGTATTTTTTATTTTGTTTTTGAAACCTTTACTCTGCTGACTTTAAGCAAAATCACTGGATAATTATCTGTTATTTTTAAAATTACATAAGCTTATGGGATAAATAAAATGAAAGTAGTGGCTAAGTTGCTTATTATGGACTAACTTGCAAGATATTATAAATTTCGTATTTTCAAACAATCAATGCAAAATTTAGTGATTATAATTAATATATGTATATATTTAGCCTAAAATGTATCCCAAATTAAAGATAACCCTGAACTTGTCATCCTGACTATGCACAAAAGGGTTAATGCAGTAGATCTGAAACTGGTATTTTTTAGAAAAGCCTACTTGAAAGGTCCCCTCTTGACTGGCACTGGGGAACTTGGCAGTTGAGCCATTCAAGAACTGATAACACGGGTTCACTGTGCCTAGACTGCTTATAAAACCATGGTGCTTTATGCTGGACATATGCTTTTTATCTGGGAGTCTGGAAATTTGGTATGTACTAGGCAGCAGGTGCTTACATGATCAAGCACCTTAAAACCTTGGGCATTGTTATGGGTTGAACTGTGTCCATCTAAAATTCATATGTGGAAATCCTGTCAGTACCTCAGAATTGACTGTATTTGGAGAGAGGGTCTTTAAGGAGCTAATTAAATTAAAATGAGGTCATTAAGATGGATCTTAATCTAATACGACTGGTATTTTTATGGGAAGAAGAGATTAGGACATAGACACAGAAGGAAGACCATGTGAAGACATGGGTATGTCTCAGAAAATGAAATTTCTTTAGGGAAGATTTTTGTCTGTCTTCTTCAGTGTACTCTTCAATAACTAGAACACTGCACAGTAATTATTATTAAGTAGGAAAAACTCAATGGTAGGTATTCAATAAATAATACTTCAGTAAATGAGTGAATCATTTATATTTTTTTTCTTGGTCACTGCTTAAATGGACATTGCCAGTGTTTACTTCAGAATATCTCTGTTTTGTTCTTTTTTTAGTCATTGATCTCTGAGCAGTGATCCTTCTAATTGACATGTTCTCTTTTTAGATAGTATTCCACATTTTTAAAAACTCCTGAGTTATTGTTTTCCAACATAATGTTAAGAACATGAGCTATAGAATAGTAAAAATCCATGTCATGGCTGTCATTCCTTTCTTTCCCTCATTCATTATTTCAAGAGTAGGTACATCATTAAATCTTTAGTAATAACTTTGTTGCATACTTTCTTTGACTGAATCAGAATATTTTAATTATGTTTGTTCAGCATTCATACACGGATGGTTATAAAAGCTATCAGTATCTGCAGATTAAACAAAGTACCGGGCTTATTGATGGGTATAAATGTGGCTATTTTGTTAAATGAAGAAGCAAAAACTGTTAGTAACTTGTGAAATTAACTCAGTGGATCAAGGCAATATTTTTAAATATAAAGCAAAAGAGAAAATAATAGAAAATAGTGTGTTTCAGATTTAACAAGAGCATCACTTCATGAAAATTTGTTTTAATTATAGATATAAAATTTACATATTTTGCTTATATAAATATATAAGATATATAATGTGTGTATGATGAATTTAGGGAAGGAGTGTTTGAAAGTGACATGATATAATTGATTATGAGCATTTATATCTCAATAAAAGATTCTAAAAACCCTTCAAAATATTAGAACAGAAATGTTATTAGACATTATTTAAATGAATACTTTTATTTTACAAGTAAGGATAAATGGGATTGGTAAAATGAAATCTTCCAAAATTACAAATTAGATTAGTGGGAGCTTTAAATTATAATTCAAGTCTTCTGTCAATTTTTCATCAAATCATAGAGCTTAAGGCAGCTTTTTGCTGTCTAAGCATGTAACTTTGGATCTGTTCTCATTAGGCTGAAACCGGCATTAAGTTAATTTTTTTCTAATAAACACATTTGTTACAGTAAGTGCAGTCACCATGGAAATGTGGTTGTTCTTTTCAATTTTTTTTTTTAAAGAATAAATATCCATTTAAATAAAGCCTCTAATTGTGGTTATATATCTTTACTTTTGAATCTTTCTGATACTGAATTAAGAGAAATTTGTTTTTTTGTTAACATGGAATAATTTTCACCTTTTGATGTAGTTGGTATTATAAGTATTCAGAATAAGTGCCAATTAAAAATATTACTACTTCCTTATCTTCTTCTGCCAGCTGGTCGTTTATATTAACATGGCAGGGTTATTTCAGGAAGCAGCTTATCAGTTATGCGGCTTTTTTGTTTGTTTGTTTGGATGGTTAGTTCTTTCACCCAATTAGTGAACAGTCTGAGAAATGTTTTATTTTTAGCATTATTTCAAAAGTAATGAAGGTGGGAATAAAAATGACCTTAGAAGACATTCTGTAGAAAAAAAAATCTCTCATTTCTTTTCTCCCTTATTTGAGACTTTCTGTCTGAATTCTACCTTGTCTGATTAGCAGCTCACTCCTGTTATATCATCATTAGTGTTTGTATATGCTTGTCATTGCCTATCTGTTTTTGAATTACTTTGTTTTAGATATGTCTCCTACATACAGAAAACAGTTTTTTTTTTTTGTGGTAGAATTCGAAATCTTCTTTTTAAAAATTTAATAGATTAACCTATTTTTACTTATTAACATGAATAATATGTACATTTTATTTTTTTAAAGATTTTATTTATTTATTTGAGAGAGAGAGAGAGAAACAGCACAAGAGGGGAAGAGGGTCAGAGGGAGAAGCAGACCCCCCGCTGAGCAGGGAGCCTGACGTGGGACTCGATCCCAGGACTCCGGGATCATGACCTGAGCTGAAGGCAGTCGCTTAACCAACTGAGCCACCCAGGCGCCCAATATGTACATTCTAATCAGTCATTTAGTTTGTGCTATATTTACTAAGATTCTTTAGATGACTTTGTCTCTTTTGCTAAACCTTACTAAAGGCCTTTACTGACTTGTAAATATTGCTTCTAAATTTCTTTGATATCTTTACACAAATAGTAACAGTAAAATTATTTTCAATTATGGGCTCACAAGAATGTGCTATTAGTGGGGCGCCTGGGTGGCTTAGTTGTTTAAGCGACTGCCTTCGGCTCAGGTCATGATCCCGGAGTCCTGGGATCAAGTCCCGCATCGGGCTCCCTGCTCAGCGAGGAGCCTGCTTCTCCCTCTGACCCTCCCCCACTCATGTACTCTCTCTCTCTCATTCTCGCTCTCTCAAAATAAATAAATAAATCTTTAAAAAAACAAACAAACAAACAAAAAAAGAATGTGCTATTGGGTATTTTCATTCTGGCCCAGGGAGTACATATTGAAAAGGGAATAATGTCCTTTCAAAATTCTGGCCAAATCTGAGAGACCATCAGAGCCATTGTTTCTTGCTAAGATACTGAAGGTACAGTTTTAAATGAAAAAGAGAAGAAAATTCAGAGAAGGTTTGTCATTTACAGATTGAATATTCCATGTGCCCTCATTTACACAGGTACTTCAAGTATGATCTTATTAGTCTCTGATGGATCTAAATATTGAAAACATGTTTTAGATTGCTCTCATTTTAAATTTATTGTGTTTGCCTTGGGTAACCTTGGTAATCATTGAAACCATTATTTCTGTAGGTACTTAATTATGTAGAAACAATTATGTCTTAAAAAACAGTTCTTACAATGGAAGATTTTAGGGTGTTGGATAATAGCTTATTGAACTTATTTCCTCAGATTTTTTTTCTTTTCTTGTTTAGTAGTAGGAAGAATAAAGCAATTGATTTGCTTAAATTAGCTTTTAATGTTCAGATGCTTGCACCATGTTTTATCAAAAGTGTGCAATTTAAAAACTTCCTTTACATATAATTTCATCTCACAAATGGTTTAGTTTTGTATAAAACGTATTTGCTTTGCAACACAGTGTAGACTTGTAAATATATCTTTATATGATGATTATTGGTATTATAAAAATGATAATTATGTTTATAATTTCTCTGAGTTGGTAATATTGAACAATGTAATTGAAATGTGAAGGAAGTATGTTTTATATTATTTATTTTATTAAATAAAAGTGAACTCTTAGTGATGTACCATTGAATTAAACATTTAGAAGAGAGTTAGTGTCAAATTACTGGCAAAATTTCATGTTACTCTAGCATAGCAATGTTACCATAAATTGAATTATCTAATTCTTTCACATTATTGATTCTTTTCATTCTTTTGTTCTCTCTCCTTTTCCGTCTCCTCCCTCTCCCACTCATTCTCTTTCTTTATTTCTTCCTTTCATTGCTTCATTGTTGTAGAATATCTAGATAGTAGTTTGTGGTTTGTAACTTTGTTAAAATATGCTTGCTAAGAAGATATTTTCCACTAAGTCATTAGACCAAAATGAATGCAAGAGGATACCAACAGTTTTGCATTTCACAAAACTAAGTACATCTTAGTTACATTACTTACATTATTGTCAACCATTTGTAAACTCTCAATGTAAATAGAGCCAATAATGATAATAATAATTGCTGTTGGCATTGTTAATATTTTAACAGCATTGTACTATGTGCTTTACATGGATTAATTCACTGGATCTTTACAAAAGCAGCTAACCTGCTATTCATTTCTTTCCCATAGCAGGGTAGAAGGGGAGGGTGATCCTGGAAGGGAATAGGGCAGGTGATTTAATAAAATCTTACAGGAAACACATTAACAACTGGTTTCCTGAAGATTAAATTGATAGTATTTGCTCAGAAAAGAGTTCTTATGTATGGAATGTTCTGAGCAGGATGTCCTGGTTTAGAGTTGGTTATGGTAAATAGACCTAGTATCTATTTATGTGTCATGGATCCTTGGAAAATGTCACATAAAGTATGTAACTTTCTGGGAGTAAAATGATTTCCACACCCTGAGT